CTGTGCAAATAAGGTAATAGTGGCCCACCAAGGTGATTGGTCAGTTTTGCCCTCCCACTAGGCTTAAAAGAGAGCCATTCCCAGAGCACCACCAAGGAAGGAGACCCAAGAGCATGTCTTTTGGGCCCAGGATTCCTGCACTGAGAAGTTTCTGGAACCAGGAGACCAAGAGAGAGAGCTGTAACACTGAAGACATTGAGAAGTAGTGGCAGACAAATGGCAGCAGTAGAGACTGGCAGGAGATGGCACAGTGGGCTTCCCATTGGAAGGAGGCTTGCTGGCTGAGTAGGGTGCCTCCGGGCACTTGGTGGAGCTAGGTTTGCTGACCACACGGAGCTACAGCTGAGCGTCCTCTGGGCTGAGGCTTCCTAGCGGAGTGGGGGTGCCTCTAGGCACTTACCAGCAGAGCTAAAATAACTTTGTAATACTTGCCTGAGCAGAGGCAGAGGCTGAGGGTCAGAGAGAGGCATACTTGGGTGCACAGCCAGAAAGAAGCTGTCCTGTTGGAAGAACTGTGTCCTGAGAATTCCTGAACCTGAATTGTAACCTGTTACTTCCTAATAAACACCATAATTGTGAGTATTGTTTATGAGTTCTGTGTGTCCATTCCAAAGAATTACTGAACCCACCAGAGAAGTAGAAAGTGCTGTGGGAGGGACAGATGGTGTCAGAATTGGTAAAGATGGTGGAGAGAGGAGGCATGTCTGACCTACACCTTGTAGGAATCAGCCTTGGGCTGTTAATCTTGATTCTCCTTCCCTAGGTGAAGTCAGAGGAGCTCAGACACTGCCCTCACACCATTTCTACACCCTATCAAAGGTGGAAAACTTGCGAGACCCAGAAAAACAACGTAGTCCTGTTGAGTTCTTGCTCTCACAGATTTCACTGTATACTAAAAATCTAACAGGGAAGTCTAGGAGGGGTGGCTTTGAGTGAATACATGTACTTTTCTGCACTTTTCAAATTCGTACAATGACTATGCATGTCTTTTATGATCAAAAATAACTTTGCTAGTATAATCTGGAAATTTAAAGTTTTCATTAAAAATTTGATTTAAAAGCAAAAGAAGCTAATTCTCACAAGATTTCCCGTTCCACCATGAGGATGGGCATCTTGTAATATACTAAGATCTTTCTTCAGCTCTTTGGACTTGTACTATGCTCGGAAATGTCCCCCCATCTTTGCTGACTTAGCTTTGTTTTGTTTTTGCCATACCCAGAATGGTTCAAAGTCCATAAAATGCAAAGGTTTTGCAACCTTGGTTGATGCAAGCCTAGTAAGAATTCCCAAACACTAGACTTTGTTATCAACAAAGCTGAAAAACAGTATTTTAGCTTCAGGGAAGCTGCTTCTGGAATATCTTTATTTAAAATGATGTTGGAAACATAATGTAGACACCTGCTTTCTATTTCCAATTTCTGGTCTCATTTCCTCTTCCTTTGCCCACCTCCTTTTCCCACTTTTTCAAATTCAGTTGCACTCAGCTCAAATATTGTCTTCTCTGCAACCACAGTGTCCAAATCAAAAGAACTTAAGTTTTTTTAAGTGTGTGTGTATTGGGGTGGGGGTTATTGGCTTCTATAACTAGAGAGCTAGGTGGTAGGTCCAGCTTCAGGCTTGGCTGAACCCAGGGGCTGAAATGACATTATCTGAACTCTGAATCTCTTACATCTTTCAGCTCTGTTTCACTTTTGCAGACTGGCAGAAAGGACAGCCCTGACAACCACTGCTCCCCATTCTCCCAGCTTTGCAACTGCAGTGGAAACAAAACAAAACACAAAAGGACTTCTCTCCCCCAGTGTCTATCTATAAACTCGGGGCAGGATTCTGTTTGGCCCAGCTTGGGTCATGGTATCACAACTGTGGCAGGTATGGGAAGATAAAGTCCCATGACTGATCATCTGAGCAGATCAAATGAAGTGAGGGAGGGGTAGCTTCTCAAAGGAATTGGGATGCTGGGCATGCAAAAAACCACATGGGACAGAATCTTTGAAATAATCTCAATTCTCCACCTCTCCATATACGCACACCCATTTACAATGTCCCTTTGCATCAAGAGGGTAGTCTGTCTCTCCACTCCCTGAATCTGGACTGGTCTTGTGACTTGCTTTGGCCAATAGCATGCTGCAGAAGAAAAGGTGTGCCAGTTCCAAACTTCTCTCTCTCTCTTTCTTCCTCCCTTCCTTCCTCCCTCTCTCCATCCCTGCTTCCCTATTTCCTTCCCTCTCTTCATTTCTTCTGCCTTTGCACTTGAACATACTGGAACTAGCTTGATAGAGGAGTGAGACATGGAGCAGAGCCAAGCCAGTCCAGTTGTCCTGGCTGAGCCGCAGATACCTGAGACAGCCCAACCAAGATTAGCCAAGCCACCTCCAGACCAGGGCTGACCACGGATACATGAGTAAGCGCTGCAGAGCCCAGCTCAGATCAGCAAAAAGCCCAGCCAACCTACAGACTCATAAGCAAAAATAAACATCTGTTGTTGCATGCCCCTGTGGTTTGATGGTTTTTTATGATGTGTCATTATTGTGGCAGCAGATAACTGATACACCTTATATCTGGTATACCTACCTTGCATCCCCATTCACAAGGTAGAGCTACTCTCTTAGCACTTAGTTATATATCCCACATTATACTGTTGCAATTTTTTTTATTGAATTGTAATTATACATTGTAATTACTTGTTTACATGTCTACATATCTATCTCCTCTTGCCCATAAGCTCTTTGAAGGCAGTAACTTTTTTGTTTTTAATCTTTTTGAACCCAGCACTTGGCACAGGGCATGGTAAAGAGCAAAAATTGGTTAAACATTCATAGGAATTCTGAGGATGAGGAGTACTACCCAAAAACTATCTGTGAAACCTGTGCTGAGAGCCAAAGTTACTAGCCGGGTTGACTGTCTTTTCTCGTGTTTCTGGACTGCTTTCTGTGAATTACCTGTCTTTTCTTTCTATATCTTTCTATTGGGTTGTTTCTCTTTCTTATTAATTTGTAAACTTTAAAAATATTTTCCAGATACGTATCCTTTACCAGGTAAGTGTGTTGAAAACATTTTCTCCCAGTCTGTGAACTATCATTTTTATGAGGGCGCCATTGATGAGTATGAGGTTTGAGATTTAATGACGTCTAACTTATCTTTCCTTTATATTTTGTAATTTTTGTGTTTATTTAAGAATGCCTGCTCTATCCCAACGTCATAAACGTATCCTCCTATATTGTGTGCTAAAAACTGGGAAGATTTTTCCCCCTACATTTCAGTCTTTAATCCACCTGGAGTTGAGTTTTGTGTATGGTGTAAGGTAGGGATCTATTGTCCCAGTATTGATTAATGAATATCTAACCTTTGTCCCTTGATCTGTGATGCCAGCCCATACCAGGTTTCTGTATATGCAGAGGTCCACATTCGGTATCTCTATGTGGTTCCATTAGGCCCTTTGTTTACCCCTGAGCAAACACACTACTTCTCTTATTTACCATTTCTTTATAACAAGTTTTGTACCTGTAGGATGAATCACTCCATCTTGCTCTTTTTCTTCAAAATCATTTTAACTATTTCTGGCTATTTTTCCATATACATTTTATAGTCAGCTTGTCAAGTTACATACACACTCTCATAAACACTTGTTGTTGTTGTTAGCAGCCATCTAGCTGTCCCTGACTCATGGCGACCGCATGCACAATGGAAAGAAATGCTGCGTGTTCCTGCACTATCTTTATGGACCAGACTATTATGATCCATAGGGTTTTCAATGGCTGATTTTTCACAAGTAGATCACCAGGCCTTTCTTCCTAGTCTGTCTTAGTCTGGAAGCTCTGCTAAAACCTGTTCAGCATCACGGCAACATCCAAGCTTCCACTGTCAGAGGGGTGGTGGCAGTGCAGGAGGTGCATTGGCCAGGAATGAAACCTGGGTCTGTTGCACGGAAGGCGAGAATTCTAGCACCAAACCAGTGCTGTGAGAATTTTGTTTTGAGCTCCATTACATTCATAGGTTAATTAGGGAAGGATTTGTGTCTTTTACAATGGAATCTTCCTATACATGAACATGATGTATTTCACCATTTCTTAGATTTAATCTGTCTTCAAAATATGCCCAGATTCAATACCTCTTACCACCTCTAGTGTTGCCAGCCTGGTCCAAGCCACTGTCATCTCCCCACTGGTTGACCGCAGTAGCTCACTACTGACTTCTCCCTGCATCCTCCTACTCGCTCCTACAGTCTATTCTCCACACAGCAGCCAGCGTGGCTGTTTTAAAGACATATATCAGAGGGTGTCATTTGCCCCCTAAAATCATCTTGCAGCATCTGTGGTGCCAATTTCCACACTCTGGGAAACACTGGTTTAAGTGAATAAATGACTGAATGAATGCTGACTCCATGCAAGGCTCTGAATAAAGAAATTATTCAGTAAGGGGTAGTCCATTGGGGAAACCAAAATCTAAACCAATGGTATTAGCCTGAACAGAGAGCCACATGACTGTGAGGATGAACTTGGGGAGCTGCGGAAGGAGACGCAGAGCCTGGTGAGGAGTCTGAAGCAACAGCGTGGGCCCTAGGGGATGCTGCCTCGACCGGGGGTAGGACTAGGTGACTGTACAGAGACCTGAAGGGCGGGTTCGCGGCATCCGCAGGCGGGGCGCAGCCGGGCCCCTCGGTTCCGGGGCCGGGGCGCGCGCACGCGGGGACGCGCTAGGGGTGGCGGCATCGCGGAGCCGCTGTGGCGGGAGAAGCGTTTCCGGTGGCGGCGGAGGCAGCGCTGAGCCGGACCTGGGAGTACGCTGGCGGCGGCCCAAGGAAGCAGTGAGTGGCGGGTGGAGGGCCGGCCAGGCGGGTTTGGGAACACGCGGGGAGCCTCGTGGAGGCGCGGGGCGCGCAGGCTCGGGCGAGGGGCGCGTGCCCACTGGCCGGCTGCCAGGAGACCCCCGGGCTCAGAGGTCGCAAGCCCTCCGCGGTGCCGGGGGCTTCCTGGACCCGGGGTCTCTACACCTCAGGGACCCCTGCCATCCGGCTGCCTGACAGCTCCCTATCGCCAGCACCCTGAGGACCCCGTTCCCTCTGCGCCCCCACGGTGGAGCGGGTCTCTCGTTCGAGGGGAGGGACGTTCAATCTATCCACGCCCCCGCGCGCTCTGCCGTGCTGTCCGCGGGGGCAGCGTGTCGAAACGCCGCGGAGAGGACACCCAAGATGGCTGCCGCGGGGACGGGCGACCGTGCACACAGCGCGAGCGATTGCTGAGTGTGACCAGGTGGTACCCGACCCTCAGGAGCCTCAAGCTCCTTAACTCGAGCTGAGCTGGAAGTCAGAGAGAAGACGTCCCAGCCCCTTCCCTAGAACTTGCAATCTGATAGGGAAGAGATAGGTAAGTAGATTCTTGGAATAGTAGTAAGCATAAGGCCTTGCGTTTCCTTGCTGTCCTCATGATCTTTCCTATGTGTCTCAGGTCTCTAACTTTCCCTGAATGATAACCACTGTACCTACCAAGTGTGTGCCAGGCAATGTAGGTCCATTTACTTTTACATTCTTCAGTCCTGCCAGGTACTTAATGTTATCCCCATACTCCAGATGACAAAGCTGAGGCTCACAGAGGTTGAGTAAGTTGCCCAAGTCACACAGCTGGCCATCCTTAGAGCAAGGTCATCTGAGTCTCAGCTTACATGTTACCTCGTCAAAGAGGTCCTCCTTTGGCTAGGCTGTCTAAAATTGCCACCCTCATGCACACATACTTTGTTAAACATTAATCAAAACCAATTGCCTTTGATTCCAGTTCAGACTCATGGCAACCCCATGTGTGTCAGAATAGAACTGTGCCCCATTGGATGTTCAATGGCTAGATTGCCAGGCCTTTCTTCCAAGGTGCCTCTGGGTGCCTTTCAGATAACAGTCTAGTGCGTTAACTGTTTGCACCACCCAGGGCTCACTCTGTATTTTTTCCTCAATAACATTTGTCTCTAGTTGAAATTAACTGTGTTTATTTGTTTCTTTTATTCTCTTCATGTGAGTGGGGGACTATGTTTGTCTCGTTCACCTGTCTGTTCCCTGCACCTAGCAATTGCCTGTACAAAATAGGCCCTCAATAGATGTTGTTGAATGCCTGAATGAAAAAGTCTAGCTCTGCTTAACTTCAGAGCCAATATACTCAACCACTCCATGGTCAACTGCCTTCTGAGCCCCATGGCATTTTGTTTGTACTTTTCTCACAGTCCTTATCTCCTATCCTGCTTTGTCTTCTGCATTTTGACTTGAGTGCCTCTGGATTTTATCTTCCTTTGTCCATTCACAGTTTACTGAGTTTCTTTCGTATTTAGGCAATGTAATAGGTGCAGGAGGTTATATAGGTAGTAAGGGGCTTTGCAGCTTTTGTGGTGCTGGAAGAAGATTCGATATACAAAATATGTAAGATGAGTGAGAAATGTTTGGGAGGATGAGTGGAGGCTCTACGAAGTTCTGGAACCTCAAACGGGTCCTTTCTCCACTCAGGACTGCAGGTGTCTCCTCGCTTGCAAAAATGATCGTGTTTGGAGAGGGGGATTTGTCAATTCCCACCCACCTCTAATGTAAAATTGCTCTAAATATGTATTCAAGAATTAGATTGAGTGCACAGGCTTTTGGGTCTTAGGAATCTTCCAAAGGGGACAATATGCATCATTGCAGTTGTCAGAGCGGCAACCTCTATAATTCAGGGTCAGTAAAATGTTTAGAAGGAGCCCTGTTGGCGCAATGGTTAAGTGCTCAGCTGCTAACCTAAAGGTTGGCAGTTCGAACCCACTCAGTGACTCCACTGGAGAAAGACCTGGTGGTCTGCTTCCATAAAGATTATAGCCAAAAAACCCCTTGGGAGAGTTCTGCTCTGTCATATGGGGTCACTGTGAGTCGGAATTGACTTGATGGCACCTAACAACAACGAAATGTTTAGAATGCTCTGAATATTCTGTGAAAGTTTTGTGAAATTCCGTGGGGATGTGTATAGGAAGGTATCAACTGGGAGGGAACATCCCTTGCCCCTCCTCGATTGCTGCAAAGAAAGCTGAGGGGACAGCCAGGGCAAGTGGAGTAGAATGGAAAGGAAGCAACGATCGCTAAAACTGACCCACCATCTAACTTCTTTGCTTTCTGATGCCTTAGAATAAAATACACCCTGCTATGCAAGCACTAGTGAGATGCATTTAGTTGGGGTATAATCATGACTGAGACTAACCTTTCACTTGAGGTTAAAGGTAAGAAATCAGTTGCAGTAAATCATTAAAAAAAAAAAAAGGTGGATGATTGTTGTCTTAGAAAGTGAAAAACCATTAAGTTAGAATATGTGTCAAACCTACTCTTACTGATACAAAGTCCAAAGTTACTAAGTTTTTCAAGTTAAGTACTTAATTTGTAAGGTATTTCCATAGCTTTTGGTATGTATAATCTGTCAGTTGATTCTTTTAAGTGGGTGGTAATATAGTCAACTGAATACATCCAAAATGTTACAGTTTGTTAGTCTGTTATCACTTTTACAGACTGATGCCACCATCTAAAGTGGAAATCAATAGGTTTTTTTGTTTTGTTTTTTTGAAAACAGCTAAGACCTTTACCCACCCTTAGAATGTTGCTTAAGAAACCTAAGCCCACAGTTCATCTTGAGGACTAGAATATGAGCAATGATTGTCTTGTCACATGGGGGTTTTAAACTTAACAGGAGGGTGAGATCTGTATTGGGGGAGGTGGGGGAGAAAAGCAGAAGACAATAAATTCTCCATGTCTTCCTGATTCTAGACAGGCCCCAGGTCTTCACACAGAGCTATCCCTGTGTCTTAGGGTTCTCTAGAGAAAGAGAGACAGTGATATATACATATACATATGTCTGGGTGGCACAAACGTTAAGTGCTTGACTACTAACCAAAAGATTGTTGGTTCAAACCCATCCAGAGGTGCCTCAGAAGACAGGCTTGGTGATCTGCTTCCAAAAGATCACAGCCTTGAAAACCATATGGGGCATAGTTCTATTCTGACACACGTGGGGTTGCCATGAGTTGGAATGGACTCGATGGCAACTAACAACAACATACACACATAGATAGAGAGATTGAGATTGATTTACTTCAAGGGACAGGCTCATGAGATTGTGGAGGACTCGCAAGTCCAAGGAGCACTGGTGATAACAGTGGTTAAACGCCTGGCTGCTAACCAAAAGACTGGCAGTTTGAGCCTACCAACCGCTCCTCTGGAGAAAGATGTGGCAGTCTGCTTCTATAAAGATTTTCAGCCTTGGGAACCCTGCGGGACCTTTCTACTCTGTCCTACAGGGTCACTATGAGTCAGAATCAACTCGACAGCAATGGGGTTGTGGCAAGTCCAAAAATCCGTTGGTCAGGCAGCAGGCTTAAGACTCCTGCAAGCTTGCCTCCCAAGAGCCACAGGTCAGGCAAAGGGTAGAGCATAGAGTTAAGCTCTGCCAAAATGTCTATTTATATTCTGGAGTCAGAACACACAGTAGGGAAACTCCGTTCTCAGCTGATTGACTGATTCTGTTATATTAGATTACATGATGGTAGGTAATTACATTACAGTTTACGTTAGATTACATTATGGAACAGCAGCAAGACTAGTGTTTGGCCAAACAACTGGGAACCATAACCTAGGGAAGTTGACACGTAAAATTAACCATAACAGCCTGAAACAGAGAACATGCAGCAGAAAGCCATTGCTGAGTGGAAATGCCCTTTGAAACAGTCTAACTCCTTGCCTGCATTCAACTTTCTGATCTATAATTTGACCTCCTATGTAGCCACACCCACAAGAAAGGAATGCTGTGTGGGAATGATTAGCCTAAACATTAACAGAAATTAGTAAATTGGTTTCTTAGCCTCCTTGATTTAATGTGATTATCCTTTGCAGACAGAGCATCTCTGGCCTCCAGCGGGTCAGAGGCATGGTCGAAAGTCAGCCAGAATCGAAAGTCAGACAGAATGGCTACTTCCCTGCTGGGTCACTTTGGGCATGGTATTGAATTTCTCTGAGTAGCTCTCCAAAACAGAGGGAAATAGCCTGGAAGGCTGTTAGAGGAGTTAATGAGCTAATGCATGAAAAACCCAGTGCCTGGGACATAATGGTACCCCACACACACCCCGAAAACAAAAACAAAACAAAACCAGTTGCCCTCAAGTCAACTCTGACTCATGACAACTCCATACGAGTCAGAGTAGAACTGCTCCATAAGGTTTTCAGTGGCTGTGACCTTTCGGAAGCAGATCGCCAGACCTTTCTTCCAAGGAGCCTCTGGGTGGGTTTGAACTGCCAACTTTTCAGTTAGTAGTTGAATGCTTAACCTTTTGCACCACCCAGTGTACAGCAGTGACATTGACAAGTTGTTTCATACCTGCCTGCCCCTACCTCAACAAACTGGGCAAGTAGATCCTTTCTTAACTCTTTCAAATACAGTATTTTTTACCCAACACCAAATTTCTGGTTTAACAACTTAGTTATTGTTAATTTTAGTCAGGGTTAAAGGTTGTTGTTACTAATTCCCTGATAAAGCCCATTCCCTCCTAATCTGTTTTCTGTGAAATTTTGGAAAATCCTTTTTTCTGGCAGTTAAGCATCTTCTTGGCATGTAGCTAAAAGTTTGAAATATAGTTTATTTTTGGAGAAAAAAATCTTTTTCTTAGACATTTCTGATTGTCTTCTTTGGGAAGCCCAGGCAGCCCAGCTCTCCATTTCCCTCTACCTCCCAGCCCATCACTAACAACAACTGCATTTGTGGGCAGGACTTCAGCCAAGGAGGACTAGCAGGGGCTTTCAATCATGGAGGATGGCTTGTTAAAAAGGATTCCTGCCCAAGTGCATAGACACCAAAGCTTATTAGGGCTACCAGGGATGAGTGGAGGGGAGATGGGGAGTTACGGCTTACGGGGCACTGAGTTTCTGTTGATGAAAAAATTTGAAAACATAGTGGCGATGGTTGCACAGCATGGTGAACATAATTAATGTCACTGAATTATACACATAAAAATGTTGAAATGACGAATGAAAGGGTAAAATCTTGGCTCCACTAATTTCTGGCCGAATGGCCCTTATAAAATGACTTAATTTCTCTGTGCTTCAGTTTCATCATCCATTTAATAATACTTTTTTCATCAGATTGATTTGAGATCAATTGAAATAATGTATGTAATGTGCTTACTTAGCTCAGTTCATGGCAATGAAAAGTATTATTAATGTTTTGGGATTCCTCTACTTCCTTGGTTCCAGAGGCAGGTTCTGCTGTCAGGTAGTGATACTAGATAATATGAGTAGAAAAAGAGTTTGAAGCCATGTCAGGAAGCACTTTTGTAACAAACTGCTAAGGAGTTATGGTTTCATTTAGTAATCAATTTTAAGATG